TAAATAAAAATTTTTAAAAATAAATAAATAAATAAATATTTTTAAAAATTATTTCCTTAAAATTTGGCACCCTTATGTAGTCACTACCTCCTCTGCCTCTGAAAATCTCTCCAGTCAGGCAAGTGTTTACCCCTCAACCTGAGGTTGCTTTATCCCCAGGCAAGGGAAGGGGGGTGGTGTTCAAGGGCTGCCAATGCCCAAGTGTGTGTAAGATGATGCACTTATTCTGAAAATGAGAATTTTGCTGGAACTTTCTGAGACCCACCACCTCTAGGTCCCTTTGGGGACTTGAAAACATTCTCCCTTCATCCTTCCCAGTACTTGAGTGCATTCAGTCAGCCCTATGCTCAGCTTCTTCTTCTTGGGATGAGACCTTTCATCCTGGGAAAGAATATTTGCTTTTTTCAGAGCTACCATTTGGATCCTCCCTCTGTCCCTGATCTTCCCTGTGGCACTGCTGGGGACTACCCGCTCAGAGCAGAACTTGGGCACACATACATGTAGCTTCAGTGAAAATATAGCATGCTCACACCTGTGCACAGGTGTATGTGACCAATCTCCATATTACTCAATAAGGTTTCCAGGAGACAAGAGGCTGCACATTGGGTGCAGAGATCACTTAAGTAAGTAAACTTTAAAGCAAAATAAAATAAAAAGAACTTTAAACTTGATGTAGTTTTTCATGAGGCAACACATGTAATGTGGAATATGAGAAAAAGGGGTACATTTTTTACTTTCCAAGGTCACGGGCCACCTGACATCTCCTGGGCTACTGAAACCAGGAGGAAGATAGAGACATGCGGTTCAGGTCACCTAGAGAGAAGCATTGTCTATAAGTGGAGGTTTCTGCCAACCTGAGTTGATCTCTTGGGAAAGGAGCCAGAGGAATGGACACCCTCAGTTTAACGTCTTCCTCCTGCTGTTTTCCTGCTAGGCTCTCCAACGGCCCACACCTGCTAGAAGCCAGAGGTGCCCCTGATGGGTTCTGTTCACATTAGCCTCCAGAGGCAGGGAACAGACTGAGAGAGGGAAAACAGAGGAGCAGACAATACATTCACAGGACCCAACAGAGACAGGTTTTCCGGCTTGGCCTGGGTATTCTTTTCCTATGAGCACATTCCAGGGGGGCCTACTTCTAAGCAGCAGTTCCCCTGGAGAGCATGGAATCATAATAAGGGCCCTTAGCAACGCAGCATCAGTTCCATAAGGGATTCCAATTTCATGGGGTTCCAGCAGGTCATTTCTTGGGCCAGCTCATCATTGTCTCCCTGACTGCTTGGCTAGACCCTATCACCTCTGGCCTCCGTGATACCTCCTTTTTTCTTCCTTCAAAGCTGACCAGCCCTACAACCCACTAACCCATGCTTATGCGTTGACACCTGGGTTCAGCAAGCCTTGCAGGCTATGCACCTCTCTATTGCTCTAGGGCAGTGGCTCTCACACTTGACTGTGTATCAAAAGAACCTGAGGCATTTGTTAAAAAGCTATTGTCTGGCCCCAACCCCCAGAGATCCTGATTCAGTAGGTCAGGGCTGATGCCCAACCAGGCACATTTCTAACATGCTTCCATGTAATGCTGGTGGAAGAGCCGCTATTTTAAGGAGGTTCTACATATCTGTGCTCAGATCTAGATTTTGCAGCCTGTCAGCAAACCATCTATTTCTTTTATCTCCATGTTCTCAGTGGATTCCTCACAGCTGCCCTCTAATGCACCCCTGAAGCAATTTGCTGGCCTAGAAGTCCTACATCCCCTTCACCCTTACTATTAGGAGCCGCCTTGTCTATGACCCAGGGGGGCGGGGCCCTGGGTCTGGGTGGGCATGTCTTGCCTGTTACTCTTCATAGGCTTTCTCCACATTTGTGTTTAGGCTGGGTTTTGTTCTCCACCCTTTTGCCCTCCTAGATACTCTTACTTTTCACGTTTGCCCCATGTGAGAGCAGCTATTGCTTTATCTCAGGAAGTTTCTCTGAGCCTCTAAGCTCTGTCCCACTATGGTAGTCTGCCGAACCATCCTTGATAGAAAGAAGAGTCCGGGAGGCAGTCTCACCTCGAATACAGGCCAGAGCCTTCCCAAAGGCCTATCACGCCCTATACAATCTGGCCTCATATCCCGCCTGTTTCCCCTCACACACCTGGCTCTAGCTACACTGGCCATCCTGCTACTTCACAAATACTCCAGATAGCCAGACATGTTCTCATCTCAGGACCTTTGCACTTGCTGTGCCCACTGCCTGAAATGCTCCTCTCTCATATAGCCACATGGCTTATTTCCATACTTCCCTGAAATAGTTTTTTTTAAGATTTTAAGTAATCTCTACACCCAACATGGGGCTTAAACTTACAACCCCGAGATCAAGAGTCATGTACTACACTGACTGAACCAGCCAGACACCCCTTCCTTGAAATTTTTGCTCAAATATTTTCTTAGAGAAGTCTCTCTGATCACACTCTTTAAAACTGCAGTCCAGGGCACCTGGGTGCTCAGTTTGGTAAGCATCCAACTTCGGCTCAGGTCATGATCTCAGGCTCCTGGCTAAGCAGGGAGTTTGCTTGTCTCTCTTCCTCTTCCTCTGCCCTGACCCCTGCTCATGCTCCCACTCTCTCTCTCTCTCTCTCAAATAAATAAAATATTTTTAAAAATAGTAAAAGTAGGGCAGCTCGGGTGGCTCAGCAGTTTAGCGCCACCTTTAGCCCAGGGCCTGATCCTGGAGACCTGGGATTGAGTCCCATGTCAGGCTCCCTGTATGGAGCCTGCCTGCTTCTCCTTCTGCCTGTGTCTCTGCCTTTCTCTCTCCCTGTGTCTCTCATGAATAAATCTTTATTTTTATTATTATTTATTTATTTATTTATTTATTTATTTATTTTAAATTTATGATAGTCACACACACAGAGAGAGAGAGAGAGGCAGAGACACAGGCAGAGGGAGAAGCAGGCTCCATGCACCAGGAGCCCGACGTGGGACTCGATCCAGGGTCTTCAGGGATCCCTGGGTGGCGCAGCGGTTTGGCGCCTGCCTTTGACTCAGGGCGCGATCCTGGAGACCCTGGATCGAGTCCCACGTCGGGCTCCCGGTGCATGGAGCCTGCTTCTCCCTCTGCCTGTGTCTCTGCCTCTCTCTCTCTCTCTCTCTCTGTGTGTGACTATCATAAATTAAAAAATAAAATAAAATAAATAAAATAAAATAATATTAATAATAAAATAGAATAAACCGGCAGTCCACCACACCACATCCTATCCTCCCTTCCCTACTTTGTTTTTCTGTATAGGTACTTACCACCTTTAATATGTTTATTATTTTAAGAATTTTTCATTTTTAAGTAATCTCTACATCCAACTTGGGGCTTGAACTCACAACCTCGAGATCAAGAGTCACAAGCTCCACTGACTGAACCAGCCAGGTGCCTAAATATGTTTATGTTTATAGTCTGTCTTCCGCAGTTAGATTGTCCATGAGGATGAGAATTGACATTTGTTTGGATCACTGAGGTGGCATATAGTACGCATCCGATAAATATTTGTTGAATGAATGTATGAGTAAGGAAATGAATTCTCCTCACCAGGCATTGAGACCTGAGTGCAGGGTTGCAGCTTTCTCTGAAAGGGACAAAGCAGTTACAGTAAAGGGAAGTCCAGAAGTCAGAGTTTACCCCAGCATCTTCCCCCACCTGCATGGGTCAGGGAGAGGGCAGTGAGAAGTGAACACTCCCAGTTGCAGAAGGGGAAGTAAGGTGGGGGGGAGAGGGAAAGGAAAAGTGTTTCCATCTATGCTGGGGGAGGGTAGGTGGAGCTATGGGTGGGGAGTTTGTTTTTATTTTATTTTTAAAGATGATTTATTTGAGAGAGTGAGAGGGGAGGGGCAGAGGAAGAGGGAGAGAGAGACTCTCAAGCCAACTCCACACTGAGCAGGGAGCCCCCCTCAGGACTGGATCTCACAACCCTGAGAAACCAAGTGTCAGACAGTCACTGGAACTGAGTCACCCAGGCATTCCTGGGTGGGGAGTTTGAACAAAAATGTCTCAGTGAGGGGAACATGCTATCCTCACCTCCCCTGGAAGTACTACCCATGCAACAAAAAAAGGAAAAATGATATGCGTGGGGAAGACATTTATTAGAGGCTACTTACCCACTCTATTGAACCCAGGGTGACTGGCACCAAATCACACACACACACACACACACACACACACACACACACACACTGCCTCCTCTAAGGCTGGCTTTATACACACACACACACACACACACACACACACACTGCCTCCTCTAAGGCTGGCTTTATACACACACACACACACACACACACAGAGACACACACACACACACATGCTTTTGTGTCCACAAATGCTGCCTGTCTCAGCACCACTTTCATTTCCTCCAAAGAATCTACTTAAATTCTCTAATTCCTGAGCTCTGTAGATTTCACTAAATATTTCAAGGAAGATATGATGAGTGGATTACATTGCACACTCTAAAGCAAACAAATACAACTCATGTGCTAGACATTTCCATATTTCCGAGTGCCTCTGGGGAGCTCCCAGACTGGGAATGAAGCTTGTCTCCCTTTCTGATCCTACACCATCTTGCCATCCTCCTAGATCTGCCAGTGGACTTCAGATTTTTCTCCCATTTCACGGCATAGAAAAATCCCAGTCAGTCCTTCCTAGGCTGTGTATCCAAACCTGTGTGCCCAGACTCATGACATCCAACAAAATGCAACCCTTAAGACTTACCTGCCCTCCTGACTTGTTCAAAGATCATTTATTTGTTCCTGAGAGTAACTACCCCTCCCCCATACCTCCAGTGGCTTCTTCCTCCCCTGCACAGACTGGGCTCTCCTTAAGAGGAACCAGGGAGAATGCTATTTTCTCATCTCCATCCTAGAGCCCCCCTCCCTGCTGCTTGCTCCTGGGGTGCTCTGTCAGCAGAAGCTAAGGGGGAAGTGAGGCCTGGGACAGGAGGAGGAGGGAATGAGGAGAAAGGGGAAGTTTAGGGGGGAGGGCTCAAAGCAGGCTGATGGGAGAGGAAAGCCAGCAGACGGAGAGCACTGGCTTGGTCTCTATCCACCTGTCTACTGGCCTCTCCATCAGCATCTGCTGAGCTATGAGCCAAACCAGGGATTTACAGGGTAGGGAAAAGTAGAAGAGGCAGCACCTAAAATGAGGGCAAGGAGATGGACAGACCTGGGGGGGGGGGCGGGCAGGGAGGTTGTGAGCAAGCCCAGGAGGGCAGAATTGTGATGACCCTGGGCCAGTGTGGGGCTAAGAAGAGGGATGGGGAATGGAGGGTGGTGAGGAAACATTAACCTTTGTGCCCCCTCAGGAGGAAAAGCCTTCGGGCTCCTGAAGGCCCAGCAGGAAGACAGACTGGATGAAATCAACAAGGTAAAAGGAAGATCTAAGGGGGCCAGAGGGGGAAGGGAACCTGGACCTATCCTGGCTATCTGAGGGAACCAGGGGACCTATCCTGGCTCTTGCTTTCTCCCACAGCAATTCCTGGATGATCCCAAATATAGCAGCGATGAGGATCTGCCCTCCAAACTGGAAGCCTTCAAGAGTGAGGGGAAAACTGCAGGGGCTGAGGTGGGGGGTAGGGGGTGAGGAGGCTACGATTTCCTCAAGAACAGAGAAAGGACAGCAGAGACAGAGTCTACATGTATGGTGGGGAAAAGAGAGGCTGCCTCTCCTGCCTTCCTGGTTGCAGTCTCTTCCCTCGGGCTGCCCCTCTCAGCACCCTCTCTGGTTCCCTGTATGTTAATAGGGCCCCTCAAGCCATCCAGCACTTACCCTGCCTGCCCCATCTCCCCCTTCCATATCTTCCCCCACATAGTGCTAGGTCAGCAGCCCCTTTCTCAAGTCCCTGCCCTGCTCCTGCCTGAGACCCTCCAGCCAGCACTTACCCTATCTGCTTTCTCCCCTCACCCAGAGAAGTACATGGAGTTTGACCTAAATGGAGACGGAGATATCGGTGAGAAAAGGGTGTTCCAGGGAAGTGTGCGGACCCAAGAAGAGGGAGGTCTCCCCTGGAGTGCTCCATTCCTGGTGGTTTGGGAGAGGGTCCAGCTCCTAGAAGAGGAACTAGAATGGAAATGTGAGGGTAAAGACAGAGAGAGAGAGACAGAGACAGAGAGAGGCTCCCTTCTTCCACCCCTCCTTTTGCGCCTCTAGATATCATGGCCCTGAAGCGAATGCTGGAGAAACTTGGTGTCCCCAAGACCCATCTGGAGCTCAAGAAATTAATCAGGGAGGTGTCCAGCAGCTCTGGGGAGACCTTCAGCTACTCTGACTTTCTCAAGATGATGTTGGGCAAGAAATCTGCCATCCTAAAAATGTGAGAGTCCAGTTTCAACCTCTACTATGCTTACCTGTTTTCTCCTCCACCCTCCCCCATCTCCAGGCTCACCTACACATTACTCAGTGACCATTTCTTTCCTTCGAGGGACCGTTCCACATTCCTGTCCCTATCTGTTGTTCTGGTCTCCATACACCCCCAGCACTGCCATCCTTGCTCTTCTTCCCCCTCCCCCTACCATAATGACCACTATCCTCTTCCAGACTTTCACAGCAGCCTGAGATTTATTATCCCGAGAAGACTGACCCCTGATCCCTCTGTCTCTTTCTATCTCAACCAGAATCCTGATGTACGAGGAAAAAGCAAGAGAACAGGAGAAGCCAGCAGGTCCCCCAGCTAAGAAAGATATCTCTGAGTTGCCCTGAATTGTGGTAGGGGAGATGTGGTGGGATTTATGGGGCTTCTAATGACTCCCACATAGAAAAAGGACACAGAATTGTGAGCTGGAGGTACACTAAATTAAATAAACTATCCTTCTCCAGATCAAGTTAGCTTGGTCTCCATTTGGCGGGGATAGTTTTCCTGGGTTTGGGAAGAAGTGAAGCACCTTTGACGAAAAAGCGGCAAGGATTTGCTGATATGAGCAATCCATCCACAATTTTGTAACGTGTGAACTACAGTAGATGGTTTTGTACTCCAAGGGAGATTCCAGATATATGATAGTCTTGATCTCAAGGAATTTAGATGGGACAAAAGGACATGTACAGACAAAAAAATATTGCCCAGACCCATGGGGAAGAGCAAGGATCATCTCTGTTTTTTTTTTAAAGATTTATTTATTCATAAGACACACACACACACACACAGACTGAGAGACACACAGACTGAGAGACACACACACAGACTGAGACACACACACAGACTGAGAGACACAGGCAGAGGGAGAAGCAGGCTCCATGCAGGGAGCCCGACGTGGGACTTGATCCCGGGTCTCCAGGATCATACCCTGGGCTGAAGGTGGCGCTAAACTGCTGAGCCACCTGGGCTGCCCTTATCTCTGTTTTTAAAAAGATTTTACTATTTTTAAGTAATCTCTACACCCAATGTGAGGCTCCAACTCACAACCCCAAGATCAAGAGTCATATGCTATATTGACTGAGCCACCAGGCACCCCAAAGAAGGATTATCTTGAACCAATATTCTCCATCACTAGTCTTTGTTACCTAACAAATCACTAAGCCTCTCTGAGTCTTTCATCAGAAAATAGGGATAGGGGATCCCTGGGTGGTGCAGCGGTTTGGCGCCTGCCTTTGGCCCAGGGCGCGATCCTGGAGACCCGGGATCGAATCCCACGTCGGGCTCCCGGTGCATGGAGCCTGTTTCTCCCTCTGCCTGTGTCTCTGCCTCTCTCTCTCTCTCTCTCTCTCTGTGTGACTATCATAAATAACTAAAAAAAAAAAAAAAAAAAAGAAAATAGGGATAATATGACCTCACACCACCGACTGACATATCATAAGCCCTCAATAATGTTTAAAACTTGAATGAATGGATGGATGGATGGGTGGATGGATGGATGGATGAAAGAACTGATGTTATTGAGTAAAGCCTGATAATTCAAGTGTTAAATAAGTCATGGAGGTCCTTTTAGGGGACAAGCTGCAGAAACTGAATCTAATGAAGGGAGAGGGGGCTTGTATTTGGAGGATATTGAGAACAGATACTGGGGATACAGAAACCCTGGATGGCAGAAAGGATTAAAAGGCCAATCTCAGGGAAGGCAGGAACCTCAGAGTTCCTAAGCTTTCAGTGAAGCTATTCCTGGACCTTTCCTCCAACAGGTCCAGATGAATTAACTCTAGCCATCTCCAGTCACTGGATACTATTCAGATTTCCTGACATTCTGGAAAGAGATAATCCAATTAGCCCAGCTTGTTTCACATACTGAGGACAGACTGTTGGCTCTTCTCAGTGGTGATGCCAGGTTGGCCTCTTAAAAAGTGCTACAGTAACTATATAGGACTTCAGATGAGGAAAAGATCACTGCAAGTTGGGTAAAATATCTGAACATAATGAAATCAATAGCTAAACTTATTGAGAGTCCACTCTATACTGGGTATTATCCTAAATGCCTTCTATGTATTAATTCTCTTAATCTTTGCAACAACCCTGGTGATACCAAGGAGGATACAAAGGACCTGGAGCTTAAAACAGTCATCCATTCAGTATAAATACATTAGGTTCTATTCATACATCAGACCGTTATTATACAGCAACGAGAAATTACAATGACATGCAGCAACGTGGATGAACCTCCTTAGTGTAATGTTGAGCAAAAGAAGATAGACACAAGAGGACCCTTATGATACAATTCCATCTGTATAAAGTACAAAAATGGGTAAAACTAATATGTGTTGTTATAATTCAAGATAGTAGTTTTTTTTTTTTTTTAGTAGTTTTGAGGGAGGGCAGTGACGGGAAGAGGCCCTCTAGAGGCCTTCCATGGTACTAGTTAAGGTTCTATTTTCTTTTCTTTTTTTTTTTTTTAAGGTTCTATTTTCGGCTACATGCTCTTAGTTCGTGAAAATTTATTAACAATCAATCGATCAATAAAATATGCTTTTGGGATCCCTGGGTGGCGCAGCGGTTTAGCGCCTGCCTTTGGCCCAGGGCGTGATCCTGGAGACAGGGGATCGAGTCCCACGTTGGGCTCCCGGTACATGGAGCCTGTCTCTGCGTGTGTGTGTGTGTGTGTGACTATCATAAATAAATAAATAAAGATCCTTGCCATTGTGAAGTTTACATACCATTGTGGAAAATGGTGTGGGAGGAGGACAGACAATAAACATCATTTAAAACGTGTATGATATTAGAAGAGAAAGTAGAGCAGGTTAAAGGGGATCAGGGGTAACAGGATGGGCAGGGAAGATTAAAATTTTGAGTAAACAGAGTAGGCCTTATTGAGAAGATGACCAACACTGAACAAAGACCTCATGGAGGTAAAGGAGTGAGGCATGGGGGTTTCTGGGGGAAGAGTCAACTTGGTGGAGGAAAGAGAATCAAAGGGCTCCAAGATGTGATATGCCTGATAGAGGTAGGGAGAGTAACAAAATCAGAGGGCCAGGATGGCTGGGTGGTTCAGTGGTTGAGCATCTGCCTTTGGCTCAGGTCGTGATCCCAGGGTCCTGGGATCTATCGAGTCCTGCATCAGGTTCCCTGTGGAGAGCCTGCTTCTCCCTCTACCTATGTCTCTGCCTCTTTCTCTGTCTCACATGAATAAATCTTTTTAAAAAATAAAATGTTTTGAAGGTCTGGAGATGAAATGTTCAGTGTTGGACTTACTGAATTTGATATGATCTATTAGGTACCCAAGAGGAGGTGTCAAGTACATGGCTGTGTATCCAAGTCTGGAGTTTGGGAGAGAGGTCTGCAGTGAAGGTATGCATGTGGGGAGTCATTACCACATGAATGCTATTTCAAGTCAGGAGACTGATATCCTCCACACACAAGTGGTAAAAGATTGCGGTGAGGGTTTGACTGGAGTTGGTTTAAGAATGAATGACAGGATGGAAATTGGTGACAGTGACTATGGATAACTCTTGCAAGAAATTTTGCTGTGGTAGGTGACCAGGGAGAGGGGAAAAGGGAATGATTTTGAATGCTTAAGAACTGAAGTCATCTCAACGATCTTAATAAGCCTCAAGATAAAATACTTTATCTGATTCTTGTTAATTTTTCTCCTCTCATTTTCCATAACGGACAGGCAGTCTCTTAATCTAGTCACACAAGCCCTGGCACGGAACCCTAAAACCATGCCTCTCATCACCACTTCACTAGGCTTGAGCTGTGCACCGTCTCCTCAAACTTGGCTAAATCCTAACTAGTTATTCATATATCTTAGTAAGAGTCACGTTTTTCTAGAATCATCTCTGAACCTCCCCAAGCAGGATCTGGTTTTGTTCCTCTACTTCCATAACATATTGCGGGTATCTCCGGGGCCTTCGAAACATAGTTGGCGAACCATCTGCGGAATGGGTAGCCGGTCTGATTGGGGTACAGTAACAGAAGACAAAGGAGGGAACTAGCACATTTCGTAGAATGAAACCCATTGTGAAGACAATACGAACTGCCAACAGTACCAGATACACAAATATATTCAGGAAAACTGTTATAAAATTAAATGTGTCTTATTCATGGGTTACCGATTTGTTGATTAAGAGGTCGTTCCAATCCTATCTTTGTTCAAATAATTTGCATGTATTATGCAAATAAATAGAACTAGCAACAGAAGATCTCCGAAGCCCGGGGCCGACGACCACGCCCCTGGGCCCTAGGATTGGCCGTCTAGCCAGCCACCTCATTTGCATGACGTGATTTAATAACTACAAGGTCCCGCCTCTCCGTGCTTTCACGTCTCGCGAAAGGACGCGTGAGTTGGGACTCTTCCTTGGTTACGTAAGCTCCGCCCCCCAGCTGCTATTCCCTTCCGCCCGGGGCTTTCGCTCCGTCTACTCCGCTGAAAGCACTACCAGCCTTGCATCGTTTCCCTCCACTCTCCGCGTCCCTACGTCTCTCAGCGCTCATCTTTCCACGAACACACGACGTATGCCCCGCCCCTTCCCCTCCTCAATTCGTCGTGCAAATCCTGCGCCCTAACCGCCGGGACGACCGGCACTGCATTCCCGCCCCCTCTACGCCTCTTAACGGCTGACGCCGGGGGCTTGTCTCTTTAGCCAACCGGCGTCCTAGCGCCTGGAAGTCCTTCCTCTTTATGCAAATAACCTGTGCCTGCTCCGCACGCCTTGCTTTTTTTAAAAAAAAAAATAAGGACAGCCCTCGAAGTAAAGGAGGCTAGGGAAGATGGTGCCCCGCCCTTTATGCAAATCAGGGGGCGTGCCATGCGCCGAGGGAGGCGGGAGGTGGGGGGGGTGCTCCCGGGGGCGGCGGTTGCCCGGATGGGCCGTTAGTCGGAGCCCAGCCGCGGAGTGAGCGAGGGAGACGGGAGGAGCCGAACCCGGCGCCATCCGCCGCCATCCGCCCCCGCCCCACCGCCATCCCACCTCGGGGAGCCCCTAGGCCCCGGTCCCCGACCCCCGCGCACCCGGCCAGGTGAGTCTGGGGAGCCGAGTGCTAACCCCCCTTTCCGGCGCGGGAGCGGTGGCGGTGGCGGCGGCGGCAGCGGTGGCGGGCCGGGGGAGAAGAGAAGCTGCCATTAGCCGCCGCCATTTTGTCCTCCTGCTGCCGGGGCCTGCCTGCCCCTCCCCCTCTGATACCCCAGCTTGGTACCCGCACCTCCAACCCCTCACCCAGAGTCCGTGGCGTGCCCCTAACCACCCGCCTTTCCGGGTTCATGGGGCGACCCCTCTCCTGGGCCCCTGGCTCCCCACACCTAGCTGCACTGTTAGCCTCTTCACCCCAATCTGTGGGTCCCCTTCCTCGCCGCCACTCTTTGGTGGGCCGCGCCCGACGATCCTCGGAGAGTCTCCTTTCCTCCATATTGGGCCACCCTCCCATCACCCAGTGCTCGGGTTCCCCGTTCTTGACGCCCCT